AGCGTTGCGAAGCACGACACCATCCTCGTCAGCCCCTGAGATACCAGAAAATGGTTTCAGTTCCACGGCTATTGCGACAGAAGAGACCGCGGGCCCTGCAGTTTCATCTGAAGCTTTCACCTCCGGCATCTCCCTGTCATGGTAAGCTTTTATCATGTTTATGTGACAAACTCGGGTTTGACGTTTTCTGTCAGGTGTGTACAGCATATAATCAGTTTCACTCATTTTCTGTTTCACCACATAAGGACCAAAGAAACGGGCAGACAAAGATGATCCAGGAACAGGTAAAAGCACCAACACTTTATCACCAGGCGAAAATGAACGCGCAACTGCTTTCTGATCATATTTGCGCTTCATGCCTTTTTGAGCATTTTCTAGAGATTCTTTAGCCAGTGACCAAGCAGTATGCAAACGATCTCGAAAATTACTGACATAATCCAGTACATTAGTGCGAGGACCCGGAACACTGTTCAAAATGTGATCTTTAAAAACTTTCAAAGGTCCTCTCAGCTGATGTCCGAATACGAGATCGGCTGGACTAAAACCAAGAGATTCCTGTACAGTCTCTCTTACAGCGAATAATACTAAGGAAACTCCCTCGTCCCAGTCTCTAGCAGTTTCCAGGCAATACTTCTTCAGCATCGACTTAAGTGTCTGGTGAAACCGTTCAAGTGCGCCCTGGCTTTGTGGGTGGTACGCACTTGAGACTCGGTGAGATATTGACAACGACTCCAGTACTTGTCTAAAAAGTTTTGATAAAAAATTCGTGCCCTGATCACTTTGTACTATTTTCGGAAGACCGAAAGTAGAAAAAATTTCACCAATGCTTTGATGATAACAGGCGCGGTAATTTTCCTTAATGGAATTGCTTCCGGAAATCTAGTGGCCATGCACATTATGGTTAACAGAAACTGGTTACCCGACTTAGTTTTAGGCAATGGCCCAACACAGTCTATGAGCACATGCTCGAACGGCTCTCCAATAGCTGGTATGGGAGACAGAGGAGCGGGGCGAATCACCTGGTTCGGCTTCCCAACAGTTTGACACGTATGACAAGTACGGCAGTACTGAGCCACATCTTTCTTTAAGCCTGGCCAGAAAAAATGTCTCAGAATCCTATCATACGTCTTTGTAATTCCTAAGTGACCTGCAAGCTGATGATCATGCGCTAAACATAACACATGTTTACGATAAGGAAAAGGAACGACCACCTGGTACACAACATTCCACTCTGAATCATTTGTGTTAGAACACCACTTCCTCATCAATAACTCATTCTCCCGAAAGTAAGCAACTTTTTGATCTTTAACTGAATCAAGAGAGACGGCAGAATTAAAAACAGCATTGAGAGACTCATCTTCTTTTTGTGCAGTAATAATTTTTTTTCGTGACACGGGTAATTTTAACGCATCGGCGTCAGACACATTTTCTCTGTTAACCTCTGTCTGTGATTTATCTATTTTTGGCGACGTACCGGCACACAATTCGTCACCAGAAAAAAGAGTGATAAAAACAGAGTCAGACAAATCAACCATATCACCCACTTTACGCGACTGAGCGCGGGTGACAGCGCATGCGGGAAAAACTTCAGGGTAAGTATGTGACACATCCAATTGACTGAACGCATCTGGTTTTTCAACAACTTCTAACACAGGCAAAATTTTCCCCCCCGCTAGATCATTTCCAAGGATAAAATCAACGCCCTGGACAGGAAGAGAAGGACGTACTGCCACTCTTACAAATCCCGTACATAAGTCACTCTGCAGGTGGATACGATGTAATGGCACAGTAATACAACTCATGTCAATGCCTTGAACTATCACACTTGAATTACAGAAAGAGTCCTCAGAGAATGGTAATTTATCTGCCACAATAAAAGACTGCATTGCACCGGTGTCTCTGAGCATTCTTATTTCTTTCTGTTCGTCACAATTTCCCTTTAGAGAAATTAACCCTTTCAAGATAAAAGGTTGATAACTGTCATCGATTTTCTCCACTCTAGGTACACTGACAGTCGGCTTACAAGTCTTCACAAACCCTACGCTCTTAGGCTGCTGCTTGCGTTTTAAAGACAGACAATCTGCGATCACATGTCCTTGTTTGTGACAGTAAAAACATTCACGATCCTCTCTCGTACGAGTTGGACTGTGTTTGGGACGGACTGGTGGGTTTTGCAAAGGAACAGATTGTGATCGCTCTGGACGTGCAAGTGCAAAAACGTTTTTGTGGGTTAAAACAAACTCGTCCGCTAACACAGCTGCTTGAGACAACGAAATTACTTTCTGTTCATTTAGGTAGACCACTACACGATCAGGTAAACACCCTTTGAACTCTTCGAGCAGTACAAGTTCTCTTAACTCATTAAAATCACTCACTTTGCTAGCTGTGCACCACTTGTCAAACAAGATTCCTTTTTCTCTAGCAAATTCCACAAATGTTTGAGCCGAATTCTTTTTATGCCCACGAAACTTCTGCCTGTAAGCCTCTGGGACTAACTCGTAAGCACGAAGTATCGCGGACTTCATAGACTCATATTTTAAACTTTCTTCTAGAGATAAAGTAGAACAGACTTCTTGAGCTTTTCCAATCAATTTACATTGTAACAATAGAGACCAGACGTCGTTAGGCCATCGAAGAGAAGTAGCTATGCGCTCAAATGTACTGAAATACGAATCAACCTCTGATTCTCTAAACTGAGGTACTAAAGAAATGTACTTACTAATGTCAAACGTTACCTGGGACGAATCAGACCGCGGAGGAACATCAGAGGTTGGACCTGGAGTCGACTGCACAGCTGAACCGGCAGCGATTTTCATTGCGTCCAGATCAAGCTGTCTCAGCTTCACCTGAGTCTCTGCCTCAATCTCAAGCCTGCGTACCTCCAAACGCAGATTTATCTCAGCTTGACGTGCCTGGGCTTTCTCCTGTGCCTCGTATTGCAAACGGGCCAAGCGGACTCTCAGTCGCGCTCCATCTCTGGAATCAACAGAACTGGGAGAGAATGGATCAAACGGTGGCAAGCCGGCCTTAGCATCGGCCCCCACCTCCGCCTCAGCATCAGCTCTACCGCTCCGTTTATCCTCATCATCCACAAAACTGCGATTTGTCACGGCAACGCCACTCCCACCAACACTCACCTCTGCACCTCCGCCAGCCTCATCACCCACAGGACGTGACACAGGAAGAACATTAATCTCTTTTAAACGATGTATCAATTTACTTTGTATCTCGCTCTTAAGGGTCTGTCTACTCACCTCAATCTGATAGTGGTCAGCTATCAGAACTAAATCTTGTTTCTTGCAAGAACTAATCTGTTCGAAAGACGGGTTGGCAATGAATTTTTTTAAGCTAAACACTTCCATGATGCACAACCAGCAAACGAGTACAAAAATACTGCTCTGCATGAATAAACCGCAAAAATAAACGTAACGTCACTTACCACTATTATACACACATACAACTGATCACAACTGAATTAACTTGAGATAAAAGATCCCGGACGAGCCCCCATTAAATGTTACGTACCCTCAAACAAGTTTGTTTGAAAGGGGCAACATTGAGGTTGTGATCAAGAGATGGTGCACATTATAATGGCAAGAGACGACCCATACTCAGAGTTGTGAAAATATAAAGTATGATTTATTTGACAAATGATATTTTAATGCAAAGATAAATAAATATAATAATAATAATAGAGTAAGGACATAAAGTGAAGCCAAATAAAAGAAAGGAACAAAAACAAACACCAATTAACTAAACCCCAACCTCTTAGCTCACTAATAACAAAAGAAAATAAAAGACAAAGATCTTCAGCGCAAAGCGCCCTCTCTACCTACACTAACTAATAACAAAACATACAAAAGTGGCATTCACTCTCTTACCTGGTGTAGTATACATCGAGTTTACTAGGTGTTGTTTTATGTACGTCACGTGACATTTTACCTGTCCAAATTACTCTTGGTAACCTCAAAACACGCCATCAAAGGCAGAACACGTTACAATTAGTAACCTCAAAACACGCCATCAAGGCAGAGCACGTTACAATTAGTAACCTCAAAACACGCCATCAAGGCAGAACACGTTACAAGTGGTAACCTCAAAACACGCCATCAAGGCAGAACAAAACAAACAGAGTAATGTCTGTAACAGAAAAATAACGTACATACAAGCGGCAATCAACACACACAGAAAGAAACAAAGCTGTCTTGCGTTCTTCTCCCGCTTCCCTTTAAACTCGTAGGTTGAACTTGATAGGCCACGGGAGGGAGATGACGTCATGATGTGAATGAAGATTGACATCGCTCTCAACCAACAGCGGACAAGAGATGACGCAAACCTAAGAATAGGATAGTGGTAGAAGAGAGAGAAGAGAAATAGAAACCAAAAGAAAACATACGACCACAGGGACGTAACTAAAACAGGCCTCGCTCATTTATTTAGCATATGCATTTAGTAGGAATTATTTAAATGAAGAATATTGAGACGTGTAGGCTACGTTCCCGGAAGAAAACTCAAGACTACAATTGAGGCATTGGAGAGTTCAGAAAAAACAGTTCTTACTGATATAGAGATTAACTCCCTTTGGAGTGACTTTTCTAGACATTTTTCATACTCAAACAGTAACATTACACAGTAAAGTGTAAAAAAATCTTTAAAACAAAACCATAATAGGTCCTCTTTTAAAGGAGTAGTTCACTTTTGAAAAAAACTTTTGCTGATAATTTACTCACCCCCATGTCATCCAAGATGTCCACGTCATTCTTTCTTCAGTTGAAAAGAAATTAAGGTTTTTGATGAAAACATTCCAGGATTTTTCTCTATATAATGGACTTCAATGGGAACCAAACGGTTGAAGGTCCAAAAGACAGTTTCAGTGCAAACTGTTCAAAGGGCTTTAAACGATTCCAGACGATGAATAAGGGTATTATCTAGCGAAACGATCGCTCATTTACTAAATAAACAATTAAACACATTTACTCATATAAGCATAAACGACCTACTCACTGTGAACTGATCTCTACTTTTATTTTCTGAAGATATATACATATATAAAAAATAAGGGCATATGTACAATGGTAATAAATATCAACTTTTTGTACAAGCAAAATAAGTTACTTAACATAATTACCTAAAAAAAAAAAAAATAACAGCAACATTTTTAAAGATATCTTGAAATGCAAGAAAAGAGACATTTTGTAATACAAAAACTCACAAAGAAACAGCAGATTTAAAGCCATGGGAGATGAACTGAATGAACTGAGATGACCGTCTTTCTTTTTTTATCAAGCAGGGAATACTGTTCAGTACAAAAAAAAGCCATGCATGATGCAAACTAGCATATGCAACACTTCGGGTCTCCCAGTGAAATTATGTCAGACTGAAGTCAGGCTTGTCAAAGCAATTAGTGAAGTCTCACAATTTCAAGAGAGCCCTGAGAAGGCCTGGCAGAAAGTATTCGGTCCTTGTTAATCTGACATTTCTCAGCGTACTTTTTAGTACAAAGATCTCATCTAACAAGTGTAGACTAGAAAAGAGCAAATGACAGAATGGAAAGCCGCTTGCAAAATCGTAAAGCTCTCATGCCACAAAGAATAGCATTCCACCAAAACAAGAGTAGTAGTAACAAAGACTTCAGACAATACTTGAGTTCTGTGCAATGGACCAATTCCAGAACATAAAGCAGAGAATTGAACAAAAAAAAGAAAGGAGAAGAGTAAACGGAGAAGAAAAACATGTCTGCAGTCTGCTTTGGCTTCACCCATGGTGAAGAGGCACAGGTACGAAAAGTCTTTTTCATTTTTTTTCTAAAACATATCAGTTTTATTGTTGAAACTTATGTAATATATTTTGCAGAACATCATGCAACAAAGTATGGACCAGTGATGAGCATCATAGTGCCTCTCCACCCACAGGGTCACGGATAATCGAAATCTCCTTCATTTGTCTTCACAATCAAAGTCAATGGAATGAAATGTCCTCTGCTTTCAGTTTTCACCCTGTTTTTATATTTAGTCTCTGTTTGAGTTGCAAAGCCCACACTGAAAGAGATAAGAAAGATAGAGTCAGTTAGTTTTTATACGTTACGACAAAATCAAGTTAAAATATGGTAATCTTTTATAGAATTATTGGTAACACTTTACAATAAGGTTCATTAGTTAACATTAGTTAACGTATTAACTAACATGAACTAATAATGAGTAATACATTTGTTACTATATTTGTTCATCTTTGTTAACGTTAGTTCATAAAAATACAGCTGTTCATTGTTTGTTCCTGTTAGTTCACAGTGCATTAACTAATGTTAACAAGACTTAAATAAAATACTAGTAAATGTTGAAATGATCTTTAACAAAGATCAATAAATGCTGTATATGTGCAGTTCATATTAACTAATGTAGTTAACTAACGAACCTTATTGTAAAGTGTTACCGAATTCTTTAATACATGAAAAAACTAAATAAACATTCATATATTATATAAATGATTATTACACACAGGATATATTTTTATTGTCATAATCTTTTCGCCCGTCTCATATATCAACCTTTTAAGAATCTTATACATTACAGTTTTTATTTTTATGAATACTTAAAGTGAGTATTTTTATGAATATATTTCTACAAACATATTAAGCAGTACAACTGTTAAGACGAAATATTTATTGAGTGTCAAATCAGCAAATTAGAATGATTTCTAATAAAAGCTATTTTAACTTTGCACAGACCGAAGCGTCCGCGGCCCTCAGATCACTTGGACGTGGCTGTAGTTACACGAGGTAAAAACAAATATAAATACTGTTCGTTTTCTCACACAAACCGCTCGTTTCGTGTCTTAGGCCATCAATGTGTACTTACATTTACGAGTCATTAAATCATGTTTAATTTGGACTTCTCTGTGCATGCTCTTTGAGGTGGTGACCATATACCTCCATTATATGACCGACAGACAAGAACGGTTTGACCTAAAAATATCAAAATTGAAACTACTGCGGAAACAAAGACGTCTACATCTTGGATGCCCTTGAGGTAAGCTAAAACATACCAAAAATTTATTTCAAAGTGAACGATCCCTTTAATATTTCATAAAATTACAACTTTTTGATCAAATAAATGCAGCATTGGTGAGCATTAGAGAAGTCTTAGACTCCAAACTTTTGAATGATAATGAATAGGTCTCAAATCCTCATGTTAGCAGCCCAAATAAAATGTGTGTGATTTGCTGTAGTCTTACCTGTGTTCTGATCAGCCGTAGCCTCTACTTCGCATCCTGGACCTTTATCAAGGATCCCTTTCATGTAGAACAATCCGGCTTCAGAACGTGGGCGGAGTCTTCTATCCCATGCCAGAAGTAAAGTTTCATTCCATCATGTAGGCAAACACTGGGGTTGTACTTCATTTGGCAGTTCAAGCCAAATATATACAATAATGCACTTGTTGTCACATCCAACACAGTCTTAGTACACATTCTGTTCACACTTTCCTCATGCTACCACCACTGCTAATCCTTTCACATTTCAGATGAAACTATCAATCGTAAAAAAAAAAAGAAAAGAAAAGAAGAAAACCTTCTTCAACAGTTGACATGAAAAAACCCTCACAATATATTAGTGCTGCAAGTCTCAAATACACATTCTCAGAAAAAGACAAAATTTGAAAAAAAAGTTCTTGAGCCGTAGAGAAAGAAAGGCAAAGCATTTGTTCATGATTCAAGTCCTGCTTTCGTTTTTTCCCCCCTAGACAATTTCTCCTCTGCTTCACTCTTGAGAGAAGAGCGTGATTGTCATCTTGCGATTTAAGTTTATGCATGTCCTTTTCGCCTCCTCTCTCATGTGTTCAACCCATAAAAAGGGGCAAGCAACCTCTGGACGTCAAAAATAAGCTCTGTATCCTCCGTCTTGCCAAATGATTGGGTTGCCAGACATCTGTCCGACGCAGATCAGACTGACGGGTCGGGTTCCTCTCAGAGATGTACCTGTGTTCGCCTGTTAGCCCCGTCGGTCTGGTCCGTTAAATATAGACATTTACAAAAAGCTTTGCGAGATGTGTTCAGTCTCGGTTGAGTGTACTTATGAGAACCACAATAATCCAAGGGAATGTCGGTGGCCTTATGGCACGGGAGATTGACAGAGAAGAAGTAGGTTGCGAGTAAGATGAAGAGAGTTCCCCAAGCAGGAGGGAGGTAGGTGAGGTTTTCTGTGGTTCCTGTGCGGTCTACACAGAAGACTCCTCGGGATTGGCATCGGGAAGCACGCTCCTCTGCTGCAGAGTTCTCCGGAGCTCCTCTTTGAAAGGACTGGTGTAGTCGTTCTCCCGGCTGCCCAGTCCGAGTCCGCTTCCCATGCCCATTCCCGATCCCGCGCTCGCTCTCTCCTCTCCGGCCGTGCTCAGATTCAGGCGGATGTATCCATTGGTGCCCGAGTTTCGGATGTTGGTGAGGCTCAACCTGCTCGGCGAGTGAATGGGCTGACCGGGAATAGCGCTCGGAGACGCCGTGCCGCCGGCGGAGCACATCGCATGCCCTGGGACGATTTTAAGGGAGCCGTCCGAGTAGTAGTAATTAGCTCCCGTTTCCCAGAAGCGATCCTCGTCGTTCGCCATCTTGCTCGGCACGAACGACGGCCGGCTGGGAGGCTCTTTGGGTAAAGTAATGGGGTACACCAAAGTGCTCTCTAGCGGCTTCATTTCCGCCCCTTTTCCCAGCGCCAACTTTAGTCTTCGACGGAGGTACAAAGACGCGATTAGCAGCAACAGACAAGCGGCGCCCAATGTGATCACCAGCACCCAGAATAAACCCATGCTGCCGTCAGGAGCGCGGGCCTCCATGAAGACGGGCGCGCTGGCTACCACCGCGACCTGGTATCTCTCCGTCTGGAACTTCACGCCTTGCTCCTCCGAGTAGCAGATGTAGCGGCCCGCTTGGAGGGAACCGGCTTGGGGGATGACGAGGGAGCGGAGGGCTCGGTCGAATCGCGGCCCGATGGCCTCACCTTCCACGAGGGCCAGCTCGCGTTCGTTGAGCTCCCAGAAGGGCTGGGCCAAGTTGGAAACCAGATTACAGGGCAATACCAGGTCCGACCCAACGACCACAGTTACGTTTCTCAATCTAGAATGATCTGGGAAAAGAAAAAAAGATTTATTTCACTATTGTTTTACATTGACTGTTCCCTGACATTATTGAATGTGAACGGATTATTTGAAACAAATCATATTCTGTCTAGATTTCTCTCCTTCAGAAAACATGGTTAGTACATTTACATTATTATTTATTATGTTATGTCAAGTAATTTTCTAATTTATATACTCTCCTTTTAGGGGTTAGTTCACCCAAAAATTAAAAATTCTTTCATCATTTACTCACTCTCTCGTCATTCCAACCCCCTCAGACTTCTATTCATCTTGGGAACACAAATTAAGATCTTTTTGATTAAATCTGAGAGCTTTCTGTTCTGCCCCTCCATTGACAGATACGGAACTGAAACTTTGATGTTTCAAAAGTTCATAAAGAGATTGCAAAATTAATCCATATGAATTGAGCTGTTTAGTTTTTTTCTGAAACGAGTCATTTGCTTTATATGATGGAAAGTTTGAATTTAGGCTTTTATTCACATTTAAACATTGCAGCTCAACTGAACATGCTCGAGATCGAGAACAAACCTTATTGTTTCTTGAGGGAGCTCATACAGTACGTGCTGCTTGAACCTGATTGGAGCGAACGTGCTTGAGCTTCCGTTTATGACAAATGATGTGTGAGTTGATGAATGTTTATATGTGAATAAATACCTATATTCAATCTGTTCATCATATAAAGTGATTGTGCCTCTTCAGAAAATTTTGAACTAAACCGTTTAATTCATATAAATCACTTTTACAATCTCTTAATGAACTTTTTGAAGCATCAAAGTGTCAATGGAGGGACAGAAAAGCCCTCAAATTTCATCAAAAAGATCTTCATTTGTGTTCCGAAGACCTTACAAGTGGGTGTGTTTTCATTTTTGGAATAAAGGGATAGTTCACGGATAGTATGTTTTAGCTTGCCTCAAGGGCATCCAAGATGTAGGTGTCTTTGTTTCCACAGTATTTTCAATTTTGATATTTTTAGGTCAAACCGTTCTTGTCTGTCAGTCATATAATGGAGGTCTATGGTCACCACCTCAAAGAGCGTGCACAGAGAAGTCCAAATTAAACATGATTTAATGACTCGTAAATTTCGATTTCGATATATCAACAGACAACTTTGTTTTTCTTTTCGCAACCGAGCGAGAGATCACGCAGACTGAAGCGCCCGTGCCTATAGATCACTTAGACGTGGCTGTGGTTGCAAGAGGTAAAAACGATATAAATACGGTTCGTTTTCTAACACAAACCTCTCATTTCGTGTCTCAGGCCATTAATGTGTTCTTACATTTACGAGTCATTAAATCATGTTTAATTTGGACTTCTCTGTGCATGCTCTTTGAAGTGGTGACCATAGACCTCCATTATATGACTGATAGACAAGAACGGTTGACCTAAAATCTCAAAATTGAAAATACTGCGCCCTTGAGGTAAGCTAAAACACATCAAAAATTAATTTCAAATTTCTTTAACTTTTCCTTTATAAGTGTGCGTGTCCCCTAATGGAAACCGCTCACTGTAGGGGGCAGCGTAAATCTGACGTACCAGGGCTGGGGATGGAGAAAGGCTTATCAAACTTGGCTTTTCCTCGGTTGAACCTCTCCAGCATGAGGTCTTGCGAGAGTGTGGATGTGGAGCTGTGGGGGGCAGAACAAATATTGACGATATGTCAGAAGGCTGTTCGACACACTGCTATGGGGATGCAGCTTAAAAATATAAAAAGGGACCCGTGGAGGAGAACAGAGGGCCTGGGAAAGCAAGTGGCGGAGGAGAGCAAGAGGAGAATCACAGAGAAAAAAATCAAGAGGAGAGCGCAAAAGACAGAAATGGAGCAGATGGAGGATGGTGCAAGGATGCTAGCAGTAGAACCAAAAGATTGATGAATTTACCCGCGGTGGAGGTCGATGCGGACACAAGCGCGTCCCTCGCTGTCCCAGGCACAGTACGGGTCTCTGGACAGCAGGCAGTCTGGCTGTGAATGGTACCGGCTGCAGTTTGCCAAGGGCAGCTGAAGAACCTCAGAGCGTGAGCCAATGTACAAATACTTCTGTCGAGATAGAATGGGAGGATTTGCTATTAAATGAAGGAAAACAATAGCAAATAAATGATTTTCGGTTATCGGTGCATTCTGTTTTCCTACTCAGTTTGAACAAAACCCATTAATGCTAGTCAGGCGGGAGAGCTGGCATCAAAGAGATTGGCTCAGCAAGAAAACAGATCAGAAATTACTTTGCTGTGCGAGATGGTGAGGCTGTCCACCGGTTGCTGCCGATCAAACAGCTGGATCTCTTCTATCACATGGGCCTCTGAACCCAAAATCACGACACGCTGGAGCCATCCGTGCGCTGAACCACAAACAATGGGGACAGAGAGGGGGAAAGGAGAGACAAATAGTCCATTAATGTATCATCAACATGTGGCATATTTTTCCGTCATTGGATTTTAGGAACAAGGTTACGCGGATTAACGGGAGGAAAATTGAATACACCCCAGCTGGTGCCGTGACCTATCATAACTCCGTGTGTGTACTTTATCCCGTCCTCTCACACAGTGCTTGTCACAGATAATGTGCTGCTGACCTCTCACTCAGTCTGGGAGGAAAAGGGAACGTGCGGAAAAGGGATAATGGAGGAGAGTTGAAGAGCTACAGGGTGTGCTTTACAAATCCACCCTGGTACTTTTGCTCATGTCAGAGTGTCTATGTTGACTTTTAATCCTCAATCCAAGATTCACACACTCACACACTGCCTCAGATGCTGACTGCACTCAAAAAGGGTTACACTATACCCTGAACGTATATTTTAGGCTATTTTACCTTTTGCCTTGATTAATCATTTTAAATAGTCCTGCGGTGTGAGATGTTAAAGTTAAAAAATATATATTATATTGTAAAAATGTATTTTAGAATAATAGTTTCACAAATAATGTCCTGTGGTATGACAAATACATTTTAAAAGTATATTGCATAATAATATTCATGTCGTTTTCCAAATAATATGTCATAAAATCATTAATTTTAAATAGTCCTGAGGTATGACACATGCATTTTTAAAAATAAACCTGTATTTTATAATGATATTCATTCGTTTATCAATGAATATTATGCCATAGAAACTTTTTTTTTTGTGCACTAGTCATTTTAAATAGTCCTGTGGTATGATAAATACTTTTTTAAAAGGATAAAAATACATTTAGGAATATATATTGTATTATAAAATATATTTAAAAATAATACTAACGTAGTCTCTAAATTAATGTGATGTCATAAACCTCTTTTTGCCTTCACAGGTAATTTTTTTAAAGCATATATTTTATTATAAATATATTCCATTCTTTCCAAGTCTTTCAATTAATATGATATAATTATAAAATAATAATTATAAAAGAAAATTGTTGGAAATGTCACTACAGGATGTCACCTTTCTGAAAATATTTAACGCCAACTAGTTAGGTTTTTCTAGATGTATTTGTCTTTTGTGAGGGATTGGTGAAATACTGAACTCATTGTGAGTGAGTTTATATGAGAGTGCCAAGGCCAAATACATCTTTTCAATTTATATTTCAAGGACTAACCTTCCTGCATGACAGGAATTCATTGGCAGAGGTGACATGTCCACTTAGATACAACATTATGGTTAATAAAATGGTTTCTTTGGCTGCTCTATTTATATTTACACAGAAAAGGACAAAAGAACAAGAAGGACAATGCAGGAGACTTTAAAAAAAAAACCCTCTTGACAAAGAAACACTTCTCTTATTAGCTGTGTAATGTTCCGTACCATGATCCATGCCTGAGTTTGACCCTCTATAACACACCTGTGCCTATGAAGAGCATGTTGTAGGATCTCTGGTCCAGTGAGCTCACTCTGTCCACAGCTATTCGGGTGAAGTTGATCCCTTTAGTAAGCAGCAGGGGGCGAGCTTCCGCCCTGAGCTCCATTAGCGGATGCTTCTTGGCAAAGTTTAGCGTAGCGTCAGGCAGCTGAAGAGAACTGTTGTAGCCGTTTTCCCGGTCAAAGTTTGTGATGCACTGTAGAAATAAACAAAAGTCATTGGGCATATTTACTTAATAATACCTTTATACTAGGACATGTCATAATGTGTATTTTTTTAAACAACATCATACAAATTTAAAATACAACCAGTATAGTATTTTCGGTTTGTTTAATGCTTTTACAAAACTTCAAACTCGTGTTACATCCGAAATCACGTACTTCCCTGCTACAGTAGGCGGAAAACAGTATTTGACAAAAGAAGTCCGAATTCATCAATTGACCAATTACTTCTATCAAAAATCTGAAGTGTGCAAACACTGAACACTTTACTATCCCATAAGGCCACGGGAGAGGATTTGTGAACGGCAGTGTGGCGCAACTGACTCTGGTAGGTCACGTGATAATGATAGCATGGCGAATGTAGTCCAGATTACATTCATACTACACAGTCATACAATATAGAAGTAATTACTTGCAAAGTAATTACTTATTCAAAATAAGTACCTACTCAAGAGAGTATGCGATTTCAGACGCAGAATCAAACTAGCCACACCTCACAGGAACTTGCATTGGAATAACAGGAAAAAAGAATGAGCTGTAATTCAAAGAATTATGGGAAATGAAGTATTCTTATATCCTGGTTCACAAAAGTGAATTAATAAATGTGATGAGATATATAAAAATATTTTAATTTCTTTCTTTCAGTTTGAATTCATTTTAAATCTGCTACCTCTTCGCAACCGCGTATGTCATTTTATGTTTATGTTTGTGGTCGGTAAGATTTTTTATGTTCTTGAATGTCACCATGCTCACCATGGGTGCATTTATTTGATCAAGAATACAGTAAAAACAGTAATATTTAATACGCAAGCTGAATTTTCAGCATCATTGTCTTGGTCATTCATAAATCATTCCAATATGCTGATTTCCTGCTCAAGGAACATTTCTTATTAGTATCAATGATCAAAACTGTACATTTTTGTAGGAGCCGTGATACTTTTTTTCAGGATTTTGATGAACAAAGTTCAAAAGAATATTTGAAATAGAAAATGTTTTTATAACAACACAACTTTTCAATTTAATGCGTCCTTGTTGAATAAAAGTATTAATTTCATTAAGCATTTGAACGGTCCTGTAAATGGTATTTTTCAATTTACTTCTGAATGGCGCACAGTCAAGGTCACTGTATACTTTTGCATTACTTGAAATTACATAATAAAAGTTTTCCAAACAATGTTTTTTCTGACATAATCGGACTCAAAATCTTTGTTAAGATGTTTATAAAATCTTATAATCAAACAGGAATAATATTAAGTTCTTATTTTGGGATGAAAAATGGTGTGCTTAGTCACGGCCTCTCAGCTCACCGCTCCAGGTCGAGGACTGGGCACAGTGCCGGTGTATCGGACCCATCGCTGAGACGACTCCCTGTACTCTTTATACGGCCCGTCGAACACATTTTTCACCTCTCCGATCTGGTACTGACACACAGCAGACACATCCACATCCCCCCTGAGAGAGAACAAAGGATAAAGAAAGAGAAGGAGAGAAAGAGAGAGAGAGAAAAAAGTAGTCAGTCAGTCTGAAGTAAATGACTGCGCTACATTGGCTGGATTATTACAGTAATAGTCTTACTGTCAACATAATGACAGTGCAGCATTTTCTACGTTAGAGGATCACGGCTGGGTGTTTGGCACGGTGACACTTTTATATAAGGAGAGGACAGAGTGACTTTCACAACTCCGTCAGGAAGAGGAAGAGAGAGAAATATTTATGAGTGTGACACGGACTGGCATGGCAGGAGGGTTCGCTCACCACTGCGCATGGAAGATGCCATAGAAACTAGTGCTCCTCCAGTCCGCCCCAGGCAGGGTGAAGACGGCCCGCAGGTTATTAAAGGTGATGTGGCGCTCGGGGAAAGAACACATCAGGCGGGCCTTCTGGAAGGTGGTCCACTTCTTCTGCAGGGTCCGTGTGCCACCCAGGTCTCCCTGAAAAGTGAAGCAAGTGGCCATTTAACAGACGTTTTGGTTCAAAATGATTTTATTTTTACAGGTACAGTTGCCCTAGAGCAGCCCTGTTGAAAAATACAGCATGACTATGCTAGTCCACCAGCTAGACCTCAGGGAGGGGTTCCTTAACTATTTTCGAACTATTAGAAACTATTTATATACTATACTATACTATACTATACTATACTATACTATACTATACTATACTATACTATACTATCTAACTAACTATTTTGGGTAACCATTAGACTTTTAAAAACACATTAATATGTTTTCAGTAAGTCTATTATTTCAATTGCTTTTATTAAATATATATATATTGCTTGAAGACTGCCTGCGCCCTCAGTATATACATACAATATAGTACAGTAGATATTCCGTATAGCCAATACAGTATATATATATATATATATATATATATATATATATATACACACACACACACACAGTATAAACATATACACACACACACACACACAGTATATACATATACACACATATATATATATATATATAAATATAAAAATTTGAATATCGTGAAAAAAATTCTTTCTGTAATTCAACTTAAAAGGTGAAACTAATATATTATATAGACTCATAACATGCAAAGTGAGATATTTAAAGCCTTAATTTTTTTCTTTTTTATAATTTTGATGATTATGGCTTACAGCTTATGAAAACATTTGCACAATATCCAAATTTGGACTTCGGGGTTTTCATAAGCCACAATAAGCAACAAAATTATAACAAATAAAGGCTTGACATATCTCACTTTGCATGTAATGAGTCTATATAAGATATTAGTTTCAACCTTTCAAGTTGAATTACAGAAATAAATAAACTTTTGCGCGATATTCAAATTTTTCGAGTTTCACCTCTACATACATGTATATACAGCTCTGGAAAACCATCTTTTAACTTGGGAAAAGTTCAGAAATCAATATTTGGTGGAATATCCCTGATTTTCAATCACAGCTTTCATGCGTCTTTTATATATATATATATATATATAAATTTTAATATCGTGAAAAAAATTATTTCTGTAATTCAACTTAAAAGGTGAAACTAATATATTATATAGACCCATAACATGCAAAGTGAGATATTTAAAGCCTTAATTTTTTTTTAAATATCATTTTGATGATTATGGCTTACAGCTTATGAAAACCTTTGCACAATATCCAAATTTTGACTTTGGGGTTTTCATAGCTGTAAGCCATAATCATCAAAATTATAACAAATAAAGGCTTGAAATATCTTACTTTGCATGTAATGAGTCTATATAAGATATTAGTTTCACCGTTCAAGTTGAATTACAGAAATAAATGAACTTTTGCGCGATATTCAATTTTTTCGAGTTTCACCTGTACATAGATGTACAGCTCTGGAAAACCATGTTTTAACTTGGGAAGAGTTCAGAAATCAATCTTTGGTGGAATAACCCTGATTTTCAATCACAGCTTTCATGTGTCTTGGCATGCTCTCCACCATGTCATCCTACGGTTGTTGAGTGACATTCGAATGAGTTGGCGGTAATCCCGGTCAGTGGAGAGTGGTTTTCGCCCTCTGCCGGTTTGCAGCTTTGTTGTCTTCAACGTCTGCTGCTTGACCTTGTTCTTATGAACCACTGTCTTTGAAATTTTAAGGATGGAAGCAACCCGACACTCACTGCATCCCTCTGCCAGTAAAGCCAGAATTGAACCCGTCTTTTCCTTTTCAACTCCTTTGGCATGGTCAATAGTGATTCCAATTAATTTGAGGTACTACTAGTGCTGTTTTTGCCATCCAGCTGGTCCTATTGCAAGAGGACAGTGGTGACCACAGCAGTGGTTTTTCTACTTTTCCTCATTAAATAAGATTTTGGTTCTTGGTTCTTCTTCCTCATTCAGTAGAATGACATTTGCAGTGGTCTCTTATTTTTTTCCAGAGCTGTATATATATACAGTATATATATATATATATATATATATATATATATAAAATAGGCTGCTTGACCTGCTGTGATATTTAATTTCATATGAAAATGTCTCATGACAAGACGCACATTCTGCACACATAATTGTTCAAAATTATGCGAGTGTGAATGTAAATAAAGTTAACCTAGTGCACATTACATTCCTAACTAAAAAAGTAAAACCATTAAAAAGTTGTTACTTAAGATAAAACCCTGAAATAGATTTGAGCAACCTGACAAAGAAATGGCATTTTTATTTCAGCTTGATGTACAAAACTAACTAAAACTGAAATAGAATTAAACAAAATAAAATAAAAAAATAAATAAACTAAAAACCACAATTAAAATTAAGACAAAAAATAAATAAAAAAGATAGGAATGAAAACTAATTTAAACTATTAATACAAACTATAATATACCTCAAGGATTCTAAATTAGAAATGCACATTAAATGTTTGCAGAGAGTTAAAGAGAAGCAGAATATTTACTGTGAACCGAGCTGATAACACTGCATTTTACCACAGTGCCACTCTACACGCAACGCAACCTTATTTACGTTTTATTCAGATCATCTGTGCAGCTCAATTTGTTTGATTGATCTGATTTAAGTCATTATTTATCGACTGCAGTTCCCTCATGAACCCCCGTTTGAGAAACCCTGCCCTAGAGCAAGCGAGCCGAAACCTTCTGGTCGAATACTTCTGGTGTGTGTGAGTCCTGAGTTTACATTCTCACCTTACACACACGTGCCACCCGTGCCACGGTCAGATCGCTGTCGCAGTCCAGCTCCAACGCTCTCTCGCTGAAGAAGAAGTAGATCTTATCGTCGTCTCCATCTTTACTGTTACGGCTCTCCCGGACCAGCGCCGAACCCACAAAGTTTGGCTCTGTACCAGACCAAAGGGGAAGATATGCAAGAACGTGTAGTAGACACAGCACTTAATAGATAAGGGGCTGGTGGTTACTTGATGAAACAGATAAAAGATCTTAAATATCCACCGTGGGACATTGTTCATTGAGCTGATTTCGGATTAACCCTGCTGGAAAGATCAGGGCCCTGTTCCCTGTAGTACATCGCTTAATACTGAGATAATATATCAATTGCTATAAGACCAGATCTTTTAATTTGTGATAATCCCTTTTCTGGCTGATTAAGTTTATCAAGCACATGGTTGGATTTGTTTAGCATGAGTGGAATGAGTTTTTGAGATCATAAACTTTATTTATTTGAAATTGAAATCTTTTGTAAAAGTCATAACCGTCACTTCTATTCATGCCGGATAGAAGCATTCATTTCTTTCTGAATTGTTATATTATATTATATTATGTTATATTATATTATATTATAAGCATCTTTCTTGGGACTTTTTCACATGCAAGCCAAACTAAAAGTAAGTCTACCAGGAATTTCTAGACCTTAAAAGAGCAACGAAACACTGCCAAGGAAACTACAAGCAGAAAGAACTGAGTGAAAGCTGGGGAAGAATTAAACGTGTAAATATTTAACCATCGCATTATATTTCCATTTCCACTTCCCTTGCATTTCTACAAGTTTCATGTGTCAGATGTTAATGTATTCAGATGAACTTAACATTTAATTTAACAGGTCCTGCTATGCCACTGCATCAGGGCATAAAAGCTCTATGTAAAAGCCTGCTTTCTTACAGTATGTGACTGGGAGACAACAAAAATCATAAATGTTTTCTTATTACGTAGGAGGGCCAGGTCCTCTTCTCTAATGGCACGACAGACAGCATCTCCTGAGCTGTAGAAAACACAATGTCTGCATTGCACTTAAAGCAGAGACCAGACAAACTGTGCATCTAATGTGAGGTAAATTATCCCCGCACACCTAAAGCAGTCCATCACAACGTCTGTGCCTGTTATCATTCACACAATGATTATTTTCTTTTAAATTAGGCTATTGTTAAAATAATTATAATAATACTAAATTCTTACTTCCCCTGGGTGCGTTGAGAATGGTGCAGAGTCTGGGACAGACTTTAACATCCGAAATCTAATCCTGTTTACGTTAAACAAAAAAGATTTGAGCTTACGGACCTGTTGCTATGACAACGACTCAGAGATGAGCTTTGGAGAATGAAACAATACAGGATTGTGTCAAGTCGGCTACAATTGAATCCAGATAACTCCGTAATCCATGTCCAAAGAAGCAACATGGTTTATTCTCCACTAATAAATGCTGTAAAAAATTTTAATTGTTAAATTATATCTGTTTACTGCCAACCACTGGCAGTTTTCATTTCATTTCAAATATTATCCACATTTCCATATTAATAAAAAAAAAACAAGTAGTTCACCCAAAAAGGAAAATTCGGTCATCATTTAGTCACCCTCATGGCTGTTGAAGCCTAAAAGTTTATATTATATGTAATAAATTCAATGTTGAATCAAATATTTTTTTTCTAAAGCTTCTTTTTTTATAATGTCTATTTGATGCTATTCTCATTTTACATAATAATGACATATTTGCCAAATTTGATGTGCAATTAATTAGATGAATTAATTGCCACATCATATTATAAATTCAATTAAAAATTGTATTCGCTTACATTTATATATATATATATATATATATATATATATATATATATATATAATATTTCCATTTATATATATATATTATATTTATATATATAATATATATATATATATATATATATATATATATAAATATAATATATATTTATATAAATATAATATATATTTATTTATATAAATATATATTATATTTATATATATATATATATATTATATATATAAATATAATATACTATTATATATATATTATATATATATATATATTAGTGCAGTCAAACGATTAAAATACATAATCGCGATTAATCGCATTAATGTCACAGTTAACTTGTGATTAATCACACATTTTTATCTATTCTAAATGTCTCTTGATTTCTTTTTGTCACATTATTTTTTCCCATTTTAATGCTCTTATCTACATGGAAAAGTGGATCGGCTTGCTTTGTGCAAAAGTTTTTTATTGAAAACAACATTGTCATATATGTTCAATTTCACATTAACGTTCTCACTTGGAGCAAATAATCTCACACACAATGTAACACTGTCCATCAATAAAAGGGTGAACGAAATACTGACGAGGTCCTGATATTGACGAGGGGGCGGAGAATTCGCATCAGCTGTGTGTGTGTGTGTATGTGTGCTTGGCCATCATCAAGTGGTGTTTCAGACTGGACGTGCTCCAATGATGATCGCTCAGTTCACAACGGCAAAACACACAGATCACTTTGGTCTCATCAATGGAACTATTTGGCAACTTTTTTAAAGTAAACTTTCAATTCAGAATCTTATTGGTGTCCATTTCAGCTTCTCGCGATCGTCATCCACTCAAAACGTAACGTTAACCAACTACGTATTTGGTGTGCGGCGTCGTGCCTGTTGTTTTGTTTCCGGTCTAGATCCGCTTGCGCTTTGTTCGACAAAGCAACAAAATGTCATCACGCGACACAAACCATTGAAATGAATGGGCAGCACCACGTCCTGTTGCAAAAGCATGTGAAAAAAATGACAAAGTTTGCAAGACCAAAAAGACCGTTAATCGCGCGATAAAAAAATAACGCCGTAAAAATGGTTTAGCGTTAAAGGGTTAGTTCACCCAAAAATGAAAATTAAGTCATTAATTACTCACCCCCATGCTGTACCAACCCCATCTTCGGAACACAAATAAAGATATTTTTGATTGAATCTGAGAGCTGGATCAGTCCTAGATAGACTGCCTAAGGGACTGCCTCTTGACGGCCCATAAAGTCATTAAAGAAAATGTTTAAATATTCCATGTGCCTACAGCGGCTCAATTATAAGTTTATCAAGCGACGAGAATACTTTTTGTGCGAAAAAAACATAAATAACGACTTTATTCCACTATTCCATTACTTCCTTATGGGCGCATGCGCGAGAACTGAGACGAGGACGTTCTCATTCGTCTACTTCTTGTTACCGGCTGCTCACTGCTTAGGAGTTTTACCGCCCCCTACCGTATAAGATGATGTGCTGATATAGCTGGAAGCGCAAAACTTTCTGTTTACAAGCAGAGGAAGATGCGCGCTGTACATACGCTTTTCAATTTGCGTATTTTCCGCACTATAAGGTGCACTTAAAAGCCTTTAATCTTCTCAAAAAACGACAGTGTTCCTTATAATCCGGAGCGCCTTATATATGGATCATCAATTTATACGGTAGGTGGCGGTAAAACTCCTAAGCGGTGAGCAGCCGGTAACAAGAAGTAGACGAATGAGAACGTCCTCATCTCAGTTCTCGCGCATGCGCCCATAAGGAAGTAATGGAATAGTGGAATAAAGTCGTTATTTATGTTTTTTTCGCACAAAAAGTAGTCTCGTCGCTTGATAAACTTATAATTGAGCCGCTGTAGGCACATGGAATATTTAAACCTTTTCTTTAATGACTTTATGGGCCGTCAAGAGCCAGTCCCTTAGGCAGTCTATGTAGGACTGATCTAGCTCTCAGATTCAATCAAAAATATCTTTATTTGTGTTCCGAAGATGAACGAAGGTCTTATGGGGTTGGAACAGCATGGGGGTGAGTAATTAATGACTTAATTTTTATTTTTGGGTGAACTAACCCTTTAACGCTGTTAATAATGCATTTAACTGACAGCCCTAATATATATATATATATATATATATATATATAATTTTTATTTATAATTCTAAATACCTAAATACAACTGGACATGTACAACACATAAAAGCCTAGAAGCATTAAGGGCCAATCCCAATTCTACCCCTTACCCCTTCACTTTCCCCTAGCCCTACCCCTTCGCCTTCCCCTTGACCCTTGAAACAGAGTGGCAATGCGTAGGGGTGAAAATATTCCCCTAAGAAATGGGACACCACTACGCCTCCGTTAAACGTCATTATAATTCGTCGCTAGCGCCTACGTCACAGGAGATGCGCCGATGTTTATCACAACTTCCAAGATGCCGTCGACAGCTGCAGTTATCTCAGTCGCGTGGGTTACAGCTATTTTCTTTCATTTATCTTGTGAAGTTCGCAGGAAACAACGGAGACGACGAAAATATGTTGCGGGACTATCGTTAGCAAACTACAGTAATTTTAGCGATTTTTTTACAAACGTTTCTGTGAAGAAACTGACCGTAAATATGAACACAATATTGAATGTAACATAAAGCAAATCATTATTTGTCGTTACAATACTTATTAAAGCCACAAATACTTAAATTTATGGGTCTCCTTTGTTGCTTGGGCAGCCAGCCTGGGTTAGCAGTGACGCTTCTCATACCCCTTCGTTTGAAGTGTGCTCCCGAAAAATCTTCGTTTGAAGGGCTATCTGGCCCTTCACCCTAGCCCTCCCCCTCCAACCAAAAGAGAATTGGGACAACCCTACCCCTTCACGTGGACGCGCAAAACGGAGGGGAAGGGGAAAGTGAAGGGGTAAGGGGTAGAATTGGGATTGGCCCTAAATCTACATAACTATGTGCTATGTGTAATATCTATGTTTAATATAAGAATTGCAGGATTGTGTCAAGTTGCCAAGTGCCAACAACTGAATCCAGAACTCAGTAATCCATGTCTGAAGGAGCAGCCTGGTTAACTCTCTGTCCTGGTGCTGGTACAGCTGGTCAACCATCGGCACCAGCAAAACATACGATAGTGTTTTCAGCAGGAGAATGAAATATATGTTGTGTTTGTTTTCAGATTTACCGTTGAGCCAAGCCGGCAGGTATTCACTCTTCATGCTGTAATGTTGTTGTCCCAGGTTCCTCAGGATTACGGGCTCTGTGCCCAGGAAGTTATTGAGGGTGGCGGAGTACAACTCTTTGTCTAGGAAAGGAGAAGAACGCTTAGAGCGGGAACAGGCACACATGCACACACTCCTGTCTACAGCCTCATGGTTATGAGATATTAAAGAGGGACTCCGATCTCTCCCAAGTGTGGGAAGAGAGGAGGCATAAAGGCATCCACAGGCGGCGCCGAGCACAAATGGACACCCACACACAAGGCACAAGAATAATAATGCAGGTTTTTACATGTCAGAAACGTGTGCATACAGCTGACTCACCCACAATGAGGCCTGTATGACCCTTGGCGGGGTCGTAGGGGCACTTTCCCTTACCGTCCTCCGGGGCGGCGCTATCCAGAGTGAAATGATCTGCATTCTATTAGAGAAAGACAGAAACGGTTCCATATGGATCAAGCAAACACACACACATGAATTGACACACACACACACACACACTGAGCCACCGGCTGTTTGCCAACTGAAGTTTAAGCAGCAGCTGAGCCCTCTTGCATCGTCCTCCTGCCCACACACAAATAAGAGCACACACACATCATGCCTTCTTATCACATTTTATACAAAAATATTAAGCAGCAAAAACGGTTTTCAATATTGCTAATAATAAGAGCCATTATTTATAATTGAGCACCAAATCAGCATATTAGAATGATTTCTGAAGGATCATGTGACACTGAAAATTCAGGTTTGCATCACAGGAACAAATAACATTTCAAAATATATTATAATAATAATAATAATATTTAATGGAAAGAAATTATATATTAAAATAGAAAAAAACGTTACTTTAAATTATAATAATATATCAAAAATGTTCAGTTTTTTTCTGTATTTTGATCAAATAAATGCAGCCTTGGTGAGCAGAAGAGGCTTCATAATAACATTGGTTTAATTAAAGCCTTTATGTGTAATACATTATAAAGGTATTCATTTTTGTACATTATAATTCATGATATCTTTTAATAAATAACTGTAACCAAAATTAAAATGCATAATAATATTTGCAGATTTGTGAAATTGCATTATATTTTAATGCATTATACTTTCTAAAGATGTGTATGAATAGATTAAAGTATGAATAGATTATATTACAATTAATAGATTATAATAATATAATGTATTATAACTGAGGTTACAATTATTCAGGAAATCATACAATGCATTAGGTATAATTAATACATTAAAAATATTTCTATAATGCAGTATATATAAAGGCTGCTTTTAAATGCTGTAAAAATGTAAATAGTTAAAAAATACATAACCCTCTCTCTCTCTATATATATATATATTATTAATAAATTAATAATGAATCAATTAATGCACACACAACAAGCCACGTCATGCCCGTCTTATCCCATCGTCCTCACAGCATGAGAACACAACCTCATTTACATTTAATATATTTCACTTTGACACACTAGAAGCCACTCGCTGACACACACACACACACACACACACACACAGTTTCTCCATCATATTGCAGCCCGCTCCACTTGATCATGTGGGTCGGACAGATTTCTCAAAGATAAAAGCGCACACTTACAATATACGTGCATTTGGGCTGGAAGGCGTATGTCCCGCATGTGTACAGGTGTGTGTGATTGTAGCTCTGCAGAAAACGAATGTAGTTGAAGCACTCAGTCTGAAACGACAGGAGGAAAGAGAGAAAGAGACACAAAGAGAAAAGCGTGAGAGAGACGGAGAGTAAATGTATTTCAGCGGGGCCAGACAAAGTAAAGCTGTTCAAACATAAAGGATGCAACATTAGGCAGTACCTGGTTATTCTTCCCCTTCGCTGCACACTCTCTTTTCTTTTCCACAGGAGCCGACCACTCAATCTAAGAGAGAAAGAGACATGACTTTTACAAGCAAATAGCACTCTGCATTTAAAATGTGCGCTCACTATTGACAGCCGCAACTGGCAATTTACTACAAATGGCTGTGGCATTGAAAGAGTGAGTCATTTTTAAATGCTGATATTTTTGAATGATAAAATGCTAATGCCCTTTTTGCTTGATGACTTGTGGATTAGTATTTATTGGGTGCATTTGGAGTTTTTGAATGAAATAAATCGAAAAAAAGCCTTTTCTCTGCAGAACGTACCTGTGGTCGGAGTTGTCTGCTGATGTCATTGGGATCCAGGGCGAAGATGTGCTCTCTGGCGCCCACGTATAAAACCCTCTCATGTTCTGCCAGGGTCAACATGGTGTAGTTCCACACCCCAACAGCGCGAAACCTCGCCATACTGTCCTGCACATCTGAAAAGAGAGGAAAAAAGGTTTTTAGGGGTATTAGATGTGATCCAAATGTCACTGATCCAATATGACTCTTGGGCTTTCAAAAAATCTCTCACATTTATCATTTTCACCAACGTCCCAGTCCAGCTGAAAATGCCAACTTAGGCAAGCATGAATTTCCATGGATACTCATAACCTTTGCTTAAACTGGTTGGCAATGTGTTAAAAAGATTCATTTGGGCTAAATGGAATTTGTATGATCCATGCTGGTTTATGCTGGTTGATGTTGGTCTTAACATTTCAAGGTGTAGAAATTAGCATAAAGATGAATAAAACAAATGAAACGATCATATATAAATTGATCAATCAATTATAATTTACATGCAATCTGCAAGAAATCGCATCATTACTTCTGCTGATCCTGCAGCCAATGAGATTGCTTGCTCCACATTTAAATATTTTGGTTCGTTGCTTGCTGTAACCTACAGTATTCCTCTGATATCCTCCACCTCCCCCAGCTCCACCTGCCTAGATCTGCTATGATCAACACTCCCGTTTTTCGCGGGTTTCTCCCGTTTTTTTAGCCCTATCTCCCGGACCCCTCCCGGTTTGATATTTCTCCTGGGAAACTCCCGTAATTTGCATGGCATAAACTCCTTTATAAATAATCGGACCAATATGTTTGTCTAATGTTGACCAGTTGCCAGATCTTGTATTAAATGAATTATATTCACACAATCAACACACCACATACAATTTCAACCCGTTTGTCATCTCAGCCTGTCTATTTATGAAGCAGCAACATATCTTACATGCTTATAGCAGATCTCTGTCAAGACCAAATACATTAAAATTGCTAATTTCAATAATATGCTAAAATTAGTCTGAGAGTTGTAATAATTAATATATATATATATATATATATATATATATATATATTCTAACTAAATATATAACAGACAGACAGACAGACAGACAGACAGATAGACAGATAGATAGATAGATAGATAGATAGATAGATAGATAGATAGATAGATAGATAGATAGGCAGATAGATAGACAGTCAGACAGACAGACAGACAGACAGGCAGATAGATAGATAGACAAACAAACAGAAAGATAGACAGACAGATGGATAGATCGATAGACAGACAGACAGGCAGATAGACAGACAGACGGACGGACAGACAGACAGACAGATAGACAGACAGACAGACAAACAGAAAGATAGATAGATAGACGGACAGACAGACAGACAGACAGACAGATAGACAGACAGACAGACAGACAGACAGACAAACAGAAAGATAGACAGACAGATGGATAGATCGATAGACAGACAGACAGGCAGATAGACAGACGGACAGACGGACGGACAGACAGACAGACAGACAGACAGACAAACAGACAGACAGACAGACAGACAAACAGAAAGATAGACAGACAGATGGATAGATCAATAGACAGACAGGCAGGTAGATAGATAGACAGACAGATAGATAGATAGATAGATAGATAGACAGACAGATGGATAGATCAATAGACAGACAGGCAGGTAGATAGATAGACAGACAGATAGATAGATAGATAGATAGATAGATAGACAGACAGACAGATAGATAGATAGACAGACAGGTAGATAGATAGACAGACAGACAGACAGATAGATAGATAGATAGATAGATAGATAGATAGATAGATAGATAGATAGATAGATAGATAGATAGATAGATAGATATCATCTTCAATTTCCTGACACTACCAGTCACTACTATCTGTGGCTATTTTTCGCAGAATTAAAACAGAAGGTGATATCATCCATCTTGGCTTAAGCCAGTGAAGAAGCCACAAGAGGACACCAGTATTCCATGCACCCTTGAACACACAAGAACATTGTGCCTCATCAGATTTACCATTACTGTGGCAGATGGGTGCAGAGTGGAGAGAGGGTTATGATGAGCAAGTACTCCAGGAGGGGAGAAAAGACACCACGAGTGGTGATGAAGATTCTGCCAGGATGGAAGTCAGGAGTGTGTGTGGTTATTAGTTGGAGAGCGGCAGCTTGTTAACATATAAGAGGGCTGGATGATCCAAGAGAAGAGGAGAAACAGACTTCCCCCAGGGAGGACAGAGAACATCTGCTAGGATGCAAACTGGGAGATGTGACAGAGCGCACGCACACACACACACACTTCTAAATACCTGCATAATTACTCAAATGCCTCTTAGCCAGTCACAGAGCAAGTTTTTTGAGCTTTGTGCTGAGCCGAGCAGAGAGTGTCATTTCTAATTATCATTCACAGAACATGGCAATTATACAGGATGCACTTACAGATCCCCGCCAGAAAGTGGCAACGTTGAGCAAACTGTCCACTGAGGGGGTTCTTTGTCTGATTTCTAGAAGGTGTTCTGGCTGGTGGTATCACAAACAAAACATCCTACATAGTGGTAAAACCATTCACTAGTAAGTATCCTGAGTTGTGATGTGAACGACAGCCGAGAGGGAAAATTAAGGGCGTGTCAATGTTAAAATTCAGGACGAGATGATACGCAGATAATCACATTTTATGACTGAAAATGATAAAAAATCTCTACTATTTAGCCAAAATATTAATTAAAAATAAAACGAAATATAAAATCAATCATTTTGTATGTTACATTTGAATTTAGGCATTACAACATTGTAATGTACACTCTAAATATTACATCATATAATTATTAAAATATTAAATATTACATAAGACGACGTACTAAAATTAATAAAAAAATGAAGTTAAATAAATATTTATACAAATTTATACAAAACTCATGTCTTATATTCATTATAAGCATACAATAAATATTGTGCACCCCATGGAAAAGGCATCATAACATTATAATGTACATTTATGATATTACAACAATGCATTAAATTATTTTTAAGATTTCATGTAATAAATATTGTGCATACCATGGAAAATATGACAAACAAATTGCATTACATATTTTGCTTTGATTTGTGTGTGTCTGTGTATCTATCTATCTATTACAGGAAGGTCTGTGTGTGTGTGTGTTTGTGTGTGTGTGTCTGTCTGTTAATCGCATATCTTGAACCGTTAGTCCGATGGATCTCAAACTTGACAAGTGTCTTGCTACGGGCACGAGTAAGTGCAGTGCCGAGTTTGACGTTGTTTGGATTAGAAATGCAAAAGATATCGCTAAATACGGGCATTTTGCACTGGTATACTGTATATAAAAAGTGGATGTTTATTTTTGAATGGCAGTCAAAGGAGAAAGATGCCATATGGTGTAGTTACAGCATCCACCAGTAGGGGCTGATTGCTGATGCTAAACTTGGTTTTGTATGGTTAGCAGTGTTTAATTAAAAAAGTCAAACCAATCAAACTGACCAAGCTGAGGTAAACATGGAAAACACAAAGAACAAGTTGACCAACAGCACCATATCTAATGGGAAGAGAGTGAGTCTCTATCTTCAAGTGAACAGACTAAAAAAGGAACAAACTAAAAATAGAAATCACTTTGAATGGAATCCAGATGTGAGCAACATAAAAGGGGACAGAGGTGAACTCTGCGTGTGTGTGTGTGTGTGTGTGTGTCTTTGTCCTTCGCAAGTTCTGAGCTGGGCCGAATGAGAGAGCAGTGAGCTCTGGTTGAGGGACCAGAGCCGCAGAAGTTGAAGGCTGCAGTTTTCTTCTGATGTTCCTCCACGGCTCCTTACAAAGCAGCTTTGCTATAAATACAGTCCTGCCCTGCTTATAGCTCATAACCGCAGCACTCCAAACACACACTCTGCTATTAAAGACCTATTTTAAGCCCTTTGAAGCTTTGACATGGATACAAAAAAATGACTTGGAAACACAGAAAATGGACACACACACACACACACTAATTAGGAAGAGAAAAGAGCGTACACTCATATACAGGCTATAAAAACACACCCACGTTCTCTAAGACAAAGACGAGAGGAGCCACCGTCTGATGCTGACACGTAACAGTACAATTAAAAAGAGAAGAAAGGGAAGAGAGACACATTAAGAAAGACACAGGTGGCGTGTTTACGCTGACACACAAACACAAACGGTGAGCTTGCGAGCGTGAGAGAGTGGGCGTTTGGGGGGACGAGGGGAAGTGCTGTAATTGCAGTAGATTAGATGAAGGAGTGGTGGGGCTGTCGCTGCTTTGGGAAGGGAAGAAAGGGAGAGCAGGACTCGGCAACAGGAAATGGTCAGAACGGATTACCACAACAATAGCCTGAAAAACTCACAAACGCCACTAAAGAGCAGAGAGCGAGCGAGGGAACGTCGGCAGAAAACGACACAAACAGTATATGGGAATATATATATATGCCTAATTCTGTCTCCATAGGGAAGAAAAAACATTTTTAGAATAGCTGGTTTTCCTGCTAGTGGTTAGCAATCAAATGCTTAGCATACAGAGATTTGTTGCTGTTTGGGCGTTAAAGCTACACTGTGTAACTCTTAGCTAAAAACACGTAGTTCTTTCAAAAATATATGTGCTCATTAATGTATATTTACTTCGTTCAAGTAATAAAGTATTCTCGTGAGTGTGTAATATGCCATTGAAAATACACACGGGTAAGGGGTTCTAGTGTCGGTCGCCATGTTGCCCCTCCATCTTGAAAGTACATTAGCCAAAGACTGAGGGACAGACCCGTTAATTCAAGCTTCGCCTTTCGCGTTTACGTTTGAGTTAACACTCGTGGACGATTTCGAACTGGAAGCCATGTTAATCTTGGACTACATTGGCCACCGTAGGAGTTAAAACGAAATCGGAATTGAGAGGAACAGAAAGTAATATTCACTGGATGGTCATATACCTTTTCACCGGGTGAAAATGGGGGTAAAAATCACACAGTGTAGCTTTAAAAAAAGTCTTAAAAGTCACTCTGAACTCCCTGAAACACCTCAATTGTAGTCTGAGGCCCCGTCCACACTACTACGTTTTCATTTAAAAACGGAGACCTTTTGCTACGTTTGCACCTCCCGTCCAGACTAAAACGG